AACCTGTTCACGGTCACCTAAACAATCTGTTGCCTTTTCTTTTGGCCTGCTCACTGTGCTTTGGGTCTTCGCCACTGGTATTTGAGCCTGATCTTAGATACAGCCCAGTCCAAGGTTTTCCTTTCCCTGTACAAACTCCAGTCTCTCTGCTCCCACTTTGGGACTCTGTAGTCCAGGAGCCAATAGACCTATTTTTGCATGAGGATCTTGGGCCTAATGGTGTTCTCCTTTTTAGACTGTTTCATATGTCCAATTTCACTCTAGTTCATTGCAACTCAAAAGTCTGGCAGTGTGGGACAAGAGGTTTCAATCTCAAGACAGGTCCATACATTTGACCTTCACCAGCCCTTCCTACCAATGGCTTGAATGGAGCTCATTATGAATGCCAGCCTTTGGGGCTAGAAATGAGTTCTAGGTATCCTCTTGGTACAGGAAATTTGGTCCTTAGGACTCCTAATCAATATTCTGAAACTTAGGACAATTCGGTTATCCCTTCAACACTGGACCTTTTGTCTGCAAGGTCATCTGACCATTATTCAGTTAGACTGTGCCATGGCAAAAGCTTACACTAACTATCTTGGAAGCACCAGAAGTTTTGCAACTCAAAGAAAAGTGGATCTAATTGGCAGAATGTTCTAAACATGAATGCTGTGCACATCCAAGCTGAGAAAAACTGGCAGGTGACACCAGACGTAGTCCTCCTGGATTTCAGGTTTGCCCTCCGAGATCATCCTGATCTTCTGTACAAAGGGCCAGTTTACCACCATGCTTCTCAACCGCTGGCTTTAAGGCTGCATTCACATGAGTGGCCAGGTGTAGCCACTGGTGAAAATCAGTGGATTCTTGCTGGCAGAGCTAAATGCTGCATGCATACTGTGTCTGCAAACAGCAGTGGCTGTCAGAATTGTATTCTGTATAAATCAAAGGACGATGCCACTGTCTGTTTGCATGTAACCCCCTCATCCAAGCAGTTACCTGTAAATAGAGCATCTTATTGTGCCTGGATGCTGCAGCTAAACAGTCTGTGGCAATAGCACAGAGTGCAGTTGCATCTAGAGGTGGTATTTAGGAGTTCTCCATGGAATGAAAACTGTCTTTTCAAGCCTGGTCTGAATCAGCATTTAGTCTTGAGTACCATCAAGGGTTAAGTTTCAGCCTTAGTGGTTCTTTTTGCAGAATGGTTTCCTCTCACTCTTTAATGAAGACCTTTGTACAGAGAGTTGCACACATTGTTCCTTCTGTCAGTTTCCCACTGACTTTGTGGGATCTCCACCTGGTTCTGCCAGCTTTTTAAAGCACATTGAACCTATTAGAGATATACCTCTGTCTATCCTTACTCACAAGTATGCCTTTACTGTTGCCATCGCTTCTGAATTGGCGGCCTAACCCTGTAAGAACTTTTTCTTGTGCTGCACAAGGAAGGACAAAGTTGTTCAAAGACCCAGGCCTCTTTTTTTGCTCCAAAGGTTTCTTCATCTTAACCAGGACATTATGCTACCATCTCTCTGTCCTGCTCTTGAACAACGCATACCACATTCAGGTTACAGAGGGAAATCTCCTTTGGGTTGTTTAAGTGTATCTCTCACCTAAATTTCAACAGTTTGACTCTGTTTGTTATCCTTAAAGGATCTATAGGAGATACTCTGCTTCACATTACACTGTCACCAGGTGGATTTGTCAGCTCATCATTCAGGCTTATGACTTAGGAGCACATTTCTCCTTTTCCCAGTCATAATGCACTCCATTATTTCAGTTAGTGCTACAAATTTTACCAGGTTGATGTTCAGGCCTCAGCTTATGCCGACTTCAAGGTTGTTCAGGCAGCTCTGTAGGCTCTATTAACCACTTGCCGACCAGCCACAGTACATATACTGTGGCAGGTCGGCACTGCTGCGCAAAATCACGTGTGTGTATATATATATATATATATATATATGTATATATATGTGTGTGTGTGTATGTATGTATGTATGTATGTATGTGTGTGTATATATATATATATATATATATGTATGTATGTATATGTGTGATTTTGCATGTCAGGTAGGGGGCGCACGCTAGGCACGTGCAAAAAAAAAAAATGCAGCGTTAGCGGGATCAGCCCCGGCACTTGCCAGCACTTGCGTTTAGCCCCTATGCTTACCCCTCCCTTCTCACCCAGTAAGTGCAGTGTCAGTAGGTCACTGTCACTTGATACATTGCACAAAAAACCGCAGTGTTTGCAGAATTGGGTCTGATCTCTGTTAGCAATTGCTGGTAAATTTTGATTACTCTCATATGCAGCAGTGTGCCAGTACTAGTGCCTCGCTACCTTTTGGTGAACTGGCAAGCACCAGCGGCCTAGTACATCCTGGTCTTTCACATACCAGCACTGCAGTATCACTTGGTGATGTGGTGAGTCCCATAAGTACAATACAAGCTGGTGCGGTGGCGAGCACAAGTAGTGTCCCGCAGCCACCAAGAATTTACACACAGGCCCGTAGAGCACCTATTATCCTTCCAAATGTGCTTGCAAATCCCGATTGGCAGCCCACAAATTCTGCAGCACTCATACTTCCCCCATTCACTGCCCAACCCAGAATTCAGGTGGAAACAGCAAATTTAAATGCTCCCCTTTTTTTTGGAGCTGTATGCATTGATTGTGGATCAAAGCAATTTATATGCACAGCAATTTATCGTCGCCAACACAATTCAAACCTTGCTAGACCATTCACATGGAAACCCATTACGATGATGACTCCATCCCCTGCGTTGGACCCAGACTGAATATATATCTGCAGTCAAAATTGGGGTTGCAAGATGGAAATCAGCTTTTAGGGATACCACCAGGCATATACTGCATTAGCCACCAAATGTGTGTAGTAGATATTTTGCTATAAATGATTGTTCTTTATTTTGGTCAAGTATGTACTATTTTTGATGCACTTTAATGTGTTACAACCAAAGTCATTTTTTGCTAAAATAAAATGGTGACTCTCATATACTGTATAAGGTTGTCTTAAAAATCCCCCAAAAATGTAAGAAAAATTCCCTTTGCATTTTATATTCTCTGCCTGAACTCTTTATAAATTGTAAATGTTTCATATGAGTTTAATAAGTGACTTGAGGAGAGACAATCTGATCTTTACTCATTTGGTTGTAGTTAGCCCTTTCACTTACTTTCACGCTGTGTTTTCATTATAGAGCTCTTCCCGGCTCTGCTGCCAAATGGATTTCTGTCCACTTCTATTTCTAGAGCTGTGATATTTCCTCTCCTGGGATGCTTCTCTGTGTGTAAACTGTTTCCATACAAGCTTGTCCACTCTCAGCATGTTCGACCTATTGTGTAATCACTGTCCTCAGGCTCTTCAGTGTCTGACACACTCATTTATAATGCAATTAACAGACATTTGTCTGATGCCAATCTAGAGTAGAATTAGGGCTCTGCTATATAGATGATTTCTCAGCCTCTCTGATATGTAATGTAATCTTTCCTTTACTTTTGTAGCTGATCACGGAGTTTTCAACTCTAGAAGTCAATGGGTCACAGAGTGCCACAGTCCCCCATGCACTGTCCCTCAGTGATACAGCCGTGTTGTGAAGCTTCAATTATTTAAAGGATCACCTTTGGGAACATGTTACATGTTCCATCTTTTTTTGGGTGGAATATGTAACATGTTCCCACTTCTGCAGCTTCTCCCTGATCTCCTGCGACAGCAAGCCGGGGATCTTCTCCCTGCACTTGATGTCACTATTATAAAAAAAAAAAACACCACAGCCCACCCAGACGTGTCATTCATTCACAGAGTTCTTTGAATGGACCAACTACAACTACTGTCAGCCACTGACAGCTTGTAGTTCTCAATGAACTACCATGGCACTGGTGACCACTCTAGGTTGTTCACTGATCATTCCTGTCATTCAGAAACTGCCTGCCCATACGAAGTATGTGAGGACGATATACTGAGAGAGTCTGCAGAATCCAGGCATTGCACCCCGATCTGATGATTGCGGGTGCAATGCCTTACAGATAAATCCTTAACAACTGGTATCCCCCTATAAATAAGTGAATATATCAACCCTAGACGCCAAGGTATCACTTTCTCCCCGAAAGTCCAAACACAAAGTCTCTCACATCATCTCTAAATCAAATAACCCCAAAATGATGAATTATTCCTTCTTTGTTCATTATCTTTCCGTGAGTAATTCCTGCTCCATCCTCCACTTGTTACCCTCAAAAAAAGATAAAATGCACATAGTGTATTATCCTCGATACAAGCACAATTGTGACTACAACTCACACTTTTGTAAGTGTGAGTCGTAGTCACAATTGTGCTTGTATTGAGGATAATACACTATGTGCGTTTTATCTTTTTTTGTGTAAAATGTGCTCCACACTCCACCATGTGTCCACGTCTAAATGTCTGTTATCCTTACTCTTACCCTCTAACTACTTGAAAATCGCCTTATAACACATTCCACCATCAGGATTCTCTCACTAGATAGACTTTTCTTCTGTCCTTCCTTTTACAAGTGATGAACCCTCTGAAAAGATCACAATATAATATGATATCTTTGATTCCTCAATATTGTGCTCCCTTCACTCATCAATTGTGCCACCAGTGAAAAGTGAATCCACGCTCCACCACCTCACAGATCATACACCTTACTGGACCAAGCCAGATCATCAGCATGGGATAACAGGCTCCTCCTGGCCACTATTACTCCAAATAACACATGGCAATCGGGGGTACACCAATCCTCCAGTGTTGAATAGCAACGGTTACTCTTAGCCAGTAATGCTTCTGATTCCAAATAGCAGTATATAGTGGGTCAGAACAAAAAGGCTTTCTTAGTGTATTAAAGTAATAAAATCAGTTATTTATTCAGTAAAAAAGCACTTACACACATATAGTATATCAGCATTTTCTCCTTTAACCGCCTCCCGCCCACCATATAAGGTAATGACGGGCGCAAGGCGGTTCTCTCGTTCTAACCGCACGTGCGCAGCTCCGGGAGCGTGCAGTGCGGCGATCAGTGGTATGCTGTGTCCAATCACAGCTGATCACATGTAAATAGGGAAATACCGGTTATAGGCATTTCTCTCCTCACGATCTGACAGCTCGAGAGGAGAGACGGTAATCGGCATTCCACAGAGAGGACATGTACACTGATCATCAGGGCATTGATGATCAGTGTAGCCCCAGCAGTGCCACATATCAGTGCCTACCAGTGCACATCAATGCTACATATCAGTGCCCATGTGAGTTGCCTTTCAGTGTCACCTATCAGTGCCAGTCAGTGCCACCTATCAATGCCATTCAGTGTCACCTATCAGTGCCAGTCAGTGCTGCCTAACAGTGCCGCCTATCAGTGCCACCTATCAGTGCCATATATGAGTGCTGCCTTTCAGTGCCCATCAGTGATGCCTGTAAATGCCCATCAGTGCCACCTATTTTCCTCATCAGTGCCCATCAGTGCCACCTATCAGTGCCCATCAGTGCAGCCTCATCAGCGCACATCAGTGAAAGAGAAAAATCACTTATTTACAAAATTTTATAACAAAAACGAAGAAAAAAAAATGTTTTTTTTTTAATTTTCAGTTGTTTTTGGTTTGTTTAGCAAAAAATAAAACACCCAGAGGTGATTAAATATCACCAAAAGAAAGCTCTATCTGTCTCAAAAAAATGGTAAAAAATTTCATATGGGTACAGTTTTGCATGACCGCGCAATTGTCATTCAAAGTGCGATTTATTTATTTATTTGTTTATTTTCTACAAAGGTGAATTTATCCTGTAACAATAGCATCAAGGACTGACTGTTTAGAATAACTAAAAATCTGAACTGAAGCCTCATCTTCAGTCTTGTACATGTTCATCTACTGTCCAAAAATGCTTGCTCTGATTTCACTGCACACTGTGAGCTTTTCATAGTGAGTAATAGAACCTGCAGCAATTCAGACACAGCCCACCTCATTTCTTGCCTGGAGGACATCCAGCATCATCTATCTCTGTTCCTCCCCCGCTTTACTGTCCCAAGACTGCTCCTTTCGTTCATTGCACTTCTGTTCTTTTATTCATGCAGGTCTAGCATCAAACGTGGGCATTACCTAGGGTGGTCTGCATGCAAAATGCACCCTGTTTAGGAATATCCAGTCATCAAGACTGATATTCTCTTATCAAAGCATTTTAATACTTGCATAACTCCTCTCAAGAGCCAGCCCACTCTCTGCATCAAGGTTGAAGATTTTTGAGACGAGGACTTAGGCAGGGTACTGTCATGATTTTAGGAAGCTATGTATAGCACTTACCAGGCTCTTCCATCAGTCATGATCTGTCTGGATCGCACAGAAAAGCACAACATCTTTGGGCCTAAAATAGGGTTTGAAGTATAAACAGAGTCCTTTGAAGTTGAAGGTGAACAGTAACAGCTTGGCCTCTCTTAGCAACATATTTAGCAACGTCCTGAGAGTTTTCCAATCAGGATTCAGATGGTACATGTCACGATCATGCACACAGGGAGAGGTGCAGTTGTCCATTTTGCTCAGAGGTGTAGCAGCTCTGGTGTTCAGGCACAGTTTTCCCTGTAGTAAGAAGGCTACATGTATCTCCTCATTCCCCTCTGTCAGGAATGCAACCAGCGTATGATGCTGAGTCCCTGCCTAACAATTCTTTGCCAAATAAGGCTTGGCTTGTTCATCGTGGGCAGAGATTTTGAGTAGAGAAAAGAAGTGTTATCTTTTGTGTTCAGTCAGAAAAGTGAGGACTGTCGGCTCTGTACCATCTAGCTGACCAAGAGTCTTGTTGGACCATCACAACTACAAGTGCAAGACCAGAAATCCCTTTTCTAGCTCATCAGACTGGAAACTGCTTAACCCCAGGCATTTATTTTGGCAAGTACTTATTTACCTAAACTTCTTTCTGTTATCTGTTTGCTGTTGTACTCTGTATATATATATATATATATATATATATATACAGTATATACTGGTTACATCTTCTTTCTGTAAATATTCGTACTGCACCCTTTTAACCTTTCGCTAATAAATCATGCTTTCTGAAAGTGTTGAATTGTTTCTATAGATCTTAATTGCAATTTATGAATCCCTGCCTCTAAAAAGAGCGCTACTATGTGTGTTTAACCCTCTGTATAACCGGTCTGTAGAGATAGCGGTATAAGAAAAATAAATAATAGCGCCTAAGGTCAAAATTGTATAACTTACTAATAGTGTACCAGCTGCAAAAAAACCACCATATATAAAGTGTACCAATTAATAAATAATTTGCGCTAGTAAATATATATAAATATATGTAAAGAAATCATCAAATCATAAGTCCAGAAAAAATATATATATACCAATACCACAGAAAAATATAAAAAAAACTTTTTAGGTGCAAAAAAACTTTTGTGCAAAAGGAGTGTCTTAATATAAAAAAAAAAAAAAAAAAAAAAAAAAAGTGTCTCAATATAAAAAAATTTCACCAAAAAACCTTGATAATATAATGGCAGATCATCCATAAAAATATCTTCAGAAACGGAAGCTCTCCAACACACCGATCCTCATCGATCGAAATAACAGGACGAAAAACTTTGTAGTTAATCGAAAATCCACTTCTCCAATAGAAAAAGGACCACCTTCAAACGTATCCATGGGGGGAAATGCCAAGCACTCGAGAGAAACAGAAAGACTTCATGGTGCAATATTATAAAAACCAATTCCTTTATTAGATACTCATTGCACTTACTCAAGAGGTGTCCCAGCCGACACCAGCATCAACAGCATCAACAGCAATCACATAAACGAGCCTGACTACTCAGCACATGTGCAATAGCTGGCAGTCAAAAACGTAATGGCATCACATCAATCAAGCTCCGCCCTACGCGTTTCGTCATCGACGTCCTCAACGGAGCGGACATCCGCTCCGTGAGGACGTCGATGACGAAACGCGTAGGGCGGAGCTTGATTGATGTGATGCCATTACGTTTTTGACTGCCAGCTATTGCACATGTGCTGAGTAGTCAGGCTCGTTTATGTGATTGCTGTTGATGCTGTTGATGCTGGTGTCGGCTGGGACACCTCTTGAGTAAGTGCAATGAGTATCTAATAAAGGAATTGGTTTTTATAATATTGCACCATGAAGTCTTTCTGTTTCTCTCGAGTGCTTGGCATTTCCCCCCATGGATACGTTTGAAGGTGGTCCTTTTTCTATTGGAGAAGTGGATTTTCGATTAACTACAAAGTTTTTCGTCCTGTTATTTCGATCGATGAGGATCGGTGTGTTGGAGAGCTTCCGTTTCTGAAGATATTTTTATGGATGATCTGCCATTATATTATCAAGGTTTTTTGGTGAAATTTTTTTATATTGAGACACTTTTTTTTTTTTTTTTTTATATATTAAGACACTCCTTTTGCACAAAAGTTTTTTTGCACCTAAAAAGTTTTTTTATATTTTTCTGTGGTATTGGTATATATATATATTTTCTGGACTTATGATTTGATGATTTCTTTACATATATTTATATATATTTACTAGCGCAAATTATTTATTAAGAGATAGCGGTATACTGTCGATTAACCAATCATCCTAGTGTATTTTTTGAGTTTCCTCTTTCTCTGTATAAAAAGGAGGTGGTGGCAGTGTGAAGGGTTAATTGCGTAATTAACCTGACCCAGTAACAATCGCTCAGACTGCCGGTACATCGATCTGTGGTCCATTAGCTGGAAAATCGTTGTGCAGGGTGCAGCTGGGTGTGGCATTGTTACGCACGTGACAGCGTGGTTTTAGATTGGCTAGTCCTTCGGTCACGAGTTTGGTAAGAAAGGCTGGGGTCTGACGCCGCGCCGTCACAGTACATAAATGGCCTACATGGCAAGAGCATTATTCAGCTTTAGCCAAAGTCGCACAGCTTGTTTTTATCTCCAGACATCTCTTATTTGCATAGGGAGTTTTTGGCAAAGGTGAACTAACCCTTTCAGTTCTGATGTGAATTTAACCCTTCTAAGCCCCCCTTATGCATAGGTGTTCTGTCTGTTTTTCATCCATCTGTATGTATCAGTGCAGCTCCAACAGTGTCCATTCATGCTGTCAATAGTGTCCATCAGTGCTGCCAGTCACTGTCCATCAGTGCTGCCTATCTGTGCCCTTCAGTGCCACCTATCAGTGCCCATCCATGCTGCCTCTTTAGTGCCACCTCGCCAGTGCCCAGCAGTACAGACTATCAGTGCCCATCAGTGCAGCCTCATCAGCGCACATCAGTGAAGGAGAAAAATTACCTGTTTGCAAAAGTTTATAACAGAAACTAAGAAAAAAAAAATTTTTTTTTTTTCTTCACAATTTTTGGTGTTTTTTTCGTTTGTCAAAAAATAAAAAAAAACCAGTGGTAATTAAATACCACCAAAAGAAAGCACTGTCTAGAAAAATGATAAAAATGTAATATGGGTACAGTGTCACATGACCGGTCAATTTTCATTTAAAGTGTGACAGCACTGAAAGCTGACAACTGGCCTGGGCAGGAAGAGGGTGTTAGGAAGGAGGAAATGGGAAGTGGCAGTAGATGGCAGTAGAAGATAAAAGGATGGGTCTGGTGAGCTGGAGATGACTTCTTACACATATCTGGTGTTTTCACAGCTTCTAAAGGAGTCCTGAGTCCTACTCTTATCTATCCATTCCTTATCTCAGCTCACTTAAGCTTTGCATAAGGCCAGCAACTGCTCCCAGCACAGGGATCCATTTAACCCTTGATACATCAACTAGGTTTACAGGTTATGAGCTTGCTGCTCCGTGGGTGTATACAGTATACTGGCTCCAATGCTCATACAGTGGCTGACATAGCTATTTTACTAGTCTCATGAAGACAAGCTGCTTAAACCGTATTAACTGTTTACTAACCAGCTTACCAGCTATCTCCTTCAAATAAAGTAATATACTTTGTTGAATGTTGGTCCTTCTGTACTCTGCCACAAGCTGCTTCAATACTTACTACTCGCTAACTCTCCTGTAAATGCATATACTATCTGCTTACACCTCTGCAGATTGCCAGAATTTCTCTCTCTTTAATCTATATGCCAGTCTGTGTACCCCCTACCCTGCTGTGTGCCCCATGCCCTGCTGTGGGACTGGAGGAGAAGGAGGACATGGTATGGAGGAGATGACACTGGAAGAGGAGGACATGGGATTGGGGAGATGACACTGGAAGAGGAGGATATGGGATGGAGGAGATGGGACACTGGAAGAAGAGGAGGACAAGGGATGGGGACATGGGATTGTAGGAGGAGGAAGAGGCCATGGGATGGAGGAGCTTGGACTGGAGAAGGAGGACATGGATGGAGGAGATGGGACTAGAGAAGGACATAAAATGGGGGAGATGGGACAGGAGAAGGACAGATGGTGTCCTAGAATATTTCCTTCCAGATCTGGACCAGGGCATCACTGAGCTCCTGGATAGTCTGAGGTACAAACTGGCGGCAGCGGATGGACCAAAACATGATATCCCAGAGGTGTTCTATTGGATTTA